AATGTCTCATTCCTGCTTCCTATTTTTTTTTTTTTCCTTGATTCAGAATAGAGTACAGACACAGGACAAAGAGGAAAACATACCTACCACAGGGTCTGGTCACACCATGATTCCCTTCCCTTCAGTCCTCCAGCTAAATGGATATTGGACACTTGTATATGTGCCCAATGTTTTGTTTTTCCATACCGACAAGGCTGGGGATCTGAACTGGGGTCTCCATGAGCGGTGTGACTTCTTAAGTAGTGAAAGCAGTTCTCCTAAATGTTTAATAGACTACACCAGTGAAGCCAGCTGGGCCTGAAGTTTTCCTTGTAGAGAATTTTAATTATGAATCCATTTTCTTTTTAATAATTTCAGATTTTCCATTTCTTTTTCTTTTTTTTTTTTTAGTTTGCTACAGGGAGCATGCATTTGTCTGAGAGAGAGAAAGAGAAAGTGAGAAATCACCCTCTGTGAGGAATGACCTCGCCTTAATCCCTTCTCTTCCATTCTTCTCTAGGACCTTTGGGCATGCATGCACACAAGCCCAGGGTGAATTTTCAAGCCAGTGGGTCCAGACATAAACCATGTAGTTAGTCATGTGGGATTCAATCACCTTAACCTCTATGCTATCTGGTGGCCCCAAGTTTTCCATTTCTTCTTGGGTCAATATTGGTAATTTGGTAATCTGCATTCTCTTACTGCTATTTTATTGTCTGTGTAAGAATCTAGAAAATTTTCTCAACTCCCACTCCTCAAAAACAGTGCTGGGGAGGACAGAAAGGATCAAAATTGGTCATGATGAAGAAATTTCATGCTACTATCCAATAAACAGAAATACCTCAAACTCTCCTTTAGGTTAAATTTCAAAATTAATTAAATATGTCAAAAGCCACATCAAAGAATGCTTTACAGCAAACTCCTATTTCTATTTCCTATCACTCTTACACTCGGATCTCAGAGACAAGCTGCTCCATGGATTCTCCCCGGATGCCCAGTAAGTGCCCTCCACATTCTGCTCTGACTTCACAAGGATGTGTGCACATCAGTGGCCTCAGCTGTAACAATACTGGTACTGGTGCTGGACAACATTTTAGAACATTCTCTCTCACAATTCATTGACCAACTTTTCATTGTCTTTTCCTTCCCCTACTGGTATTTGGTTCTCGTATGAGCAGAAGTTCCACTAGAGGAAATGAATAATGCCCTTGAAAGCCTCCCGCTCGAGAGACCCCACTGTGGTGCCCTCCTGAACCTTCCCTTCTCCATGTCCCACAACATAACATGGGACAAGACAACGTTTCACCACACAAGGAGAAACAGAAGAAATCAACCCAGCCTCTGCAGTGAGTAGCTATGAGGTCTGTGGCAGGGTCCTTCACCTTCCTAAACCTCAATGTCCTCATCTGCAAACAGAGAATAATCATAGAACAATCAAACAGAGGTTTATGGACCAGAAGACAAGCCATGTGTATGGCATAGGAGGCGTAGGCAGAACAGGCCCTTCTAGACACACCTGGATCATCTGAGCTGTGGACAGCAAGTAGCCCCACTCTCACTCGCTCATGGACCCAGACGGCCAACAAGGTCAACCTGCCAGCAGCACAGAGCTGCAGAACAGAAACACCTCCTGACAGCAAGAAAGAGGCCAAGCTACACCTTTGGGTCTCCCACAGATGTAGTTGGAGAAGATGGTGTGACGGTGTGGTTTTTTCAGCCTAACAGAAGCGCTGCAGGTCAGGCAGGGGAAAGGGCTGCAAGATAAGGGTTTGCAAGGAAATCTGCTCCTGCTCTGCAAGGGATCCTAGACAAAAAGACTGTACCTGAGTCTGACTAAGACTCAGATGCTAACACAGCCTGTGGAACAGCATGTCCATCTTAAGCAGATAAGAGCAGAGCCAGCAAGGGGATCCTTACAGCAACCAGGTGCAGCTCTGTATGCTTGTCCCAACAGTAGGAACAAAGTCCAGAGATGACAACACTGAGCCTGTGTCCCAGAGCTGCTTGTTCAACTCAGAGCCCTGAGCCTTTCCAGAGGCTCACTCATACGGGCCAAGCATGCTGCTCTGGGAGTCAGGGACCAAAGACAAAAGGTGAGTTGTGAAACTATCAAAGGCCACCAGGAAAGTCACTAAAATTCTGGGCCAGGAGACAGAATCAACGAGGGCAGCTCTCACAGATGAAACGTGGCTGCTACAGGCTGACATTCCCCCTCAGTCTATGTGATCCCCATCTTCTAAGGCCTGCACCTGCTCCAGGGCCTGTGCACTGAGTCCTCTCCCCACACTCCACACCCCCGGCATGTGCCTGGGGAGAGACTGCACTACAGAAGGTGATGCTGCAACTCAGGAACCATGGCAGTGGCCAAGGGGACACTCTGGACAAGAGCAGCTTTCCCACCACAGATCGGTTGCTTCCAGGGCCTCCATGGCACCTATGGGAAGTGAGTGCTGGGAGGGCCTGAAGACTGTCACCAGAGGAGGCGACAATACCCTCTGCTACAGTAGGAAGCCACTAGAACTGGATCACTCACTACTCAGGAGACTTCTCCTTCTTGAGGCTCCAAGAATAAGACCCAACTGTACTGGGGCAGCATTAGTCACCATGATTGCAAATGGACAGGAAAAAGAGCCCATAGTCAGCTCAATGGCTTCTAATTTCCCATTATCTAGAAATAACAAAATATTCAAGGGCCACCTGGGAGACTGGGTCCCCTAAGTGGGCCATCCAAGAGAGTCTCCTGCCAGACTCGGAAGGCTGATGGAAGTACTGGCCAGCACCTTGAACCAGGAGTGTCTTCTCTTCTGCCCGCCCCCACCCCGGCTGCCCTCAAGTGTTCCTTATGTGCGTAGGACCCCCAAAGAAGGTTTCCAGGGTGCCATCAGTGATAGCAGAGGGGCTAGGGCTTTATACTGTCCTGCAAGAGTTCACCTCTCACAGGGCAAGCTTCCTAAAAGGGACATGAAGACTAGGGACCCCCTAGAGAAGGAAGAAAGTTGGTTCGGTGAATCCATTCCCAAGATCATTTACCTGGTTTGGCAAGGGCTCTCTCCCTTCAGGAATTTGGGGCCTTAGCCCAGGACCCTTTCCTGACCAGTGTCATCCCTTCCTTGGCAAGGCAGGTGAAGAGGGTATGAGGACCAACACAGTGACCTTGCTTGGCTTGGGAAGAAGACCTGCTTTTTAGTGGCATCTCTTGGCACAAGCCCCAACTTGGCCCAGCCCCTGGCTGGAATGCAGGGTGATGAGGAAAATGGCTCCAGCTGTGTGATCAGCACTCGGGTTACTCACTGTCCAGTCTGGAGCTTTTGCCATTCTTAGTGGTCACCCTGCTGTCAGGAGGTAAGAGGACAAGACCCCTGATCTGCACTGGGCACCCGTGCTGGCCTTATATTGGGCTGTCAGAAAAGTCAGGAGGTATTTTTTCTATTCAAAAACACGTCACAACTTTTCCAACGACCCAACAGCTGAGCTAAGGGGAAGGCTCCAGGGAGCCTCCTTTTTGGCTTATACAGGTTGGGAGCATTTTTTCCTGTTTGCTGGGTGGGGTTTTAGGGCCTATTTTAAGTCCAGACGTCGCCTGCTCTTGGGAGGAGCTGTTTAGTAAACGGGCCAGTAAGTACGGGCAGGAAGCCCGCTAGAAGCCCCGAGACACTCGAGCATGGGCATGCACACTACTTTTCCATCTGCAGTCTTTTTCTAGATCACACAGCCAAACCATTCACTGTTTAAAATGCAGTGTGTGGTTGGAATGATTTAAGACCATTTTTCCTTACAGAACTGTAGGTTTCTGTGCCTGCGTGTTTTAGGTGAGCATAGAGCAACTGAAGGAGCAGGCAAGACGGACCAAAGGAAAGAGCTCGGCTCTACCAGGGTCTTTCTGCCTCCTCCAGGTAACCCCTCGCCCACGACCCTGAGAAGGTGCCTTCCAAGAACAAGGCCTCGTACGGGTAAGTGCTCCATCACCTTTATCCAGGCAGCTCAGCCCTGCCTACTGGCCTCTCTGCTCCCCCTAGCCTCTGCCTGCCTTCTCATGTACCAGGCTTAAGCTGGCTGGGAAGTTGGAGTGACTTCACAGCTGTGGGAAGTTTCTCTATAAAAACCAAGGTTTCTTTATGCCATCAGTTGGCTCCGTTAAAATAAAACACAATTTATTTTTCTAGCATTTGGAATTGGAATTAACTGAGCTGATTGTCCAGGTCTTCTTCATTAAGAAAGATTGATAGTGGTCACAGTTCTGTCTCCTAAGATGGAACTAGCTGGAAAGGTTCATGGACAGTCAGAAAATACATCAGGGTGTTGACTGAGCTGCCAGATAAATTACTACTGCTGGGTTTTCACTGCAGGACAAAAGCACGAGAAGTTTCGATCTGGCAGAATACAGTGGATGTTTTATTGTAGGCACATCTGGAATGTGTATGTTTTCATGGGGCATGAAACCTGGAAATGGAGGGTTCTTTCGGCTGACTGTGCAGGGTGGGGGTGGGAGCCAGATGCATCAGTTTTTCCACCCAGAGGGCAACAGCAGGGTGGAGCCTGAGAAGGAAGCTCTATGGGATCCAAAGCAAGCAGGGTCTCTGGCCAGCCCCTGCAACAAGGAGGGCTTTGTGCTCAGGTAACAGTTCAGTGTCATGCTCCACATACCACATTCCTG